GCATGCGTGCATGCGTGCGTGCATGCGTACATGCATGCGTGCATGTGCGTCCTGTTGTACATATATGTATGCCTGTATGTGTATATATATATATATATATATATATGTGTGTGTGTGTGTGTGGACCCGATGGGAGGGACGTTCAGCTCGGGGTTTCAGGGGTCCACCTCATCATGTTCGTGGTCTTAAACGTTACAGTCGAGTTCCGCTAAGGGCAGGGCTTTGGGGTTTTATCCAAGTGTTTTTTTATGACACGGGGAGCCCCGAGGAACGATGGTAATAATCCAGGCTCCTGTTATCTAAGGCTTAGGGCTTAGGATATAAGGCTTCGGTTTCGGTGGTGGGGGTTTATAGCCCTCTCTCTCGGGATTGTATAGGGGTTTCTGTTCTCGCAATTCTAGCGCCTGGAGTAGCGAGAAAGCTTTTGGCTTGAATGCGGGCCTTAGTAGTTACAACAGGGCTTTGGTTTAAACAGTGATTCAATTATCTAGGAGGCATACGATTTCTATTTATTCAGAAGCCGATGAAAATTTTGTACACCCCAAGTACAGCCATGCTGAGAACTCTTGTAGAACGTTTAGTTCACCCTTTTAGAACCTTTAGCGGAACTCATGCTTCAAGGCTTTAGGGAAGAGTTCGAAGCTGCAGTCTCTTGGGCCCGGGATCCACTAGTTACGGCTTGAGTGTAGAGTTGTTGGCTGAAGAATTTGCAGGTTTGGTTTTGGAGCTTTGGGTTTAGAGTTTGGGCTGTCGGTTTAGAGTTTCCAGGTTTGGGTTTAGAGTTTAAGGTTTAGGCTTTACAAAGTAGGGTTGAGGGTTGCTGGCTGACAGCACTTGCCACAACCTGAGATGTGAACTCTCCGCTCGGAGGATCAAGTGACTTAACAGGTGGGGGTCATGAGCAGGGAGCAAACATGGGTCCAACAACACTGATACACAAGCGAATGGAATCCTGTGCTGCTAACACCTAGCTAGTAGATCCTCTTAGTGACCTAAGGAGCCTGCCACAAACCCCCTCAGCCTTTCGCGCCCTTAAACCTCACATCGGTAAAACCGCCAACTCCCTATAGTCCGCGTTGTAGTTCCTTTCGTGGGTGACCTTATAGGGACCTAACATGACCTAACTATAAAACTGCTTTCACAAAGAATGGAACTACAATGGCTATAGGTCTACCCCTAAACCCTAAACCCTCAACCCTAAACTACCCCCCACCGCGGTCGTCGCCTCAATGGTCTCTGCCTGGCTGGCGAAACGCTGCTGCAGCCTGGCAACCTGGCGGTAGAAGCGCTTCAGATAATGTAGGGGCCTTATAATTAGACGAGGGTTTCGGGCTTGGGGGTTTTCCCACGAGCTTGGTAAGGGTTGCGATAGGGTTTCATATCGGTGCTGTAAACAATTTAAGCAGGGGTTTAGGGTTAAGGGGTTTTGGGGTATGTTATAAGTCAGGCTTCAGTTTCTGTGCCCTTGTGCTTTAAAAGCCCTGTTCGGGGCAAGGCCGTGGATTCGGCATCTCCTGATGGGTCAAAGGGTTTTTGGGTTCAGGGTTTGGGGTGTTTGGGCTTCGAGCTCACTCATTTGAAGCTCGAGGGCGCTTTCGGATCTGAGAGAAAGATTTGCCACAGTGAAAGGAACCAGAGCGAGACGTCGTCGTTATCACAGCCCCAGGTAATGTTCGTGCGCAGAAGACAGAACCCATCGAGGACTGGAAGGGAACATTATTGCTAAATAGGTTCGGTGACTGCGTCATGCTTCAAAGGACCATGACCCCGAAATCCCCTGAATCCCTACTCCCTGAAATGAGTAAGAACGCAGAGACACCTCGGCCAAAAGCGTGTGAAGCTGACTGCGAAGGTGACCCGTGGCATCCTGCATGGTTTCAGGATCATTGGAACACGAGGTTTAGGGCTTGCAGGGTTGTTTTCAGGTTTAGCGGAGTTTTGAGATATACTTTGAAGTTCTTTTCATTTTTCTCGCGAGCGCAGTGAGCTCGCAACAGAACCTGATGTTTGATAAATGAAAGCCAAGAAGTCTGTACAAACATGCGACTCAAAGCAGCAGCACCACATCAATTATATTGAGATTCCCTCGCGTATTACTTGGAGAGGCTGAAAGCCTTGGTGTGCCATCATCTGGAACTAAAAAAGATCTAGCCTTTGAAGAGCCTGTTGCTTGACGATTTGGAGATGAGCATCATTGTCGGGATCAAATACGGCTTTGGGACCTGCTATGTGCTTGTATGCGTCAGCATATAGGTAGTTGTCAAAATTATGGTCCCTTTTGGGGTACCCTAAATAATAGGTGCCGTATTATAATAAGGACGCAAAAAGGGGCCATAATTTTGACAACCACCCATATGTCTCCATCAACCAGTCAGATTTGGGGCGACGCACCCTCCTTGTCAAAACAGTCCTGGGCCTCAGGTTGTCGGGATGAAATACGGCTGATGGACAAAATCCTGCATGACCTTATATACCTAAACTATGGGATTTATGGTACTATACTATATTTTGGGTCATGCAGAATTTTGTCCATCAACAGTACAACCTGGTTTAACGGGCCTGTCCTAGAAAAGACGATTAGTGACAGTGTTACTACTACAAATTTCTATTGCAATCATAGTACGGTTATATTCTTACTACTAGTATCACGATTATTATCATCACTATTGCTATTGTTATTCTTGGGACCGGAGGCTGCGGGAGAGTTGTGTGGCTCAGGGTTCCGTTGGACACAACATGGGAGACTGCAGCTGTAATCAAATTTGTTTAGGGACACCCTACAGAGGGTTGCACAAAATCAACAACAGGCTGCCTTGGACAAAGCCTCCGTCCACCTGCGCCTTCTCAAATGGTCTAAGGTTCAGGATTTGGTGTTCGGGGTATAGAGTCCAATCAGACCCAGAGAATAACACCACGGTCTTTTTGATCAAACCTGCAAAAGCCCCTAAACCGCCAACCCTGCCACCTAACCCGTCAAGCATGAAGTCCAGGCAAACCCTAAACATTCTAGGCAAAGCTCTTGGAGGTCTAGGCAAACCCCAACTTTTTCAGCCTTCCGGCCAATGTTTTCTTGTATTGAATTAAACCCTAAACCCTAAACCCTAAACCCTAAACCCTAAGACCTTTATACCTCCGTCCTCCAGGTAAGCCGTATACGATTAGGATCCACCGCCCTGCGAAGAACCCCAAAAGCCTCCACTGCTGCGGCGATGGCAGCAGCATCGGGGGGCTGTTGCGCCTGCCTTTGGCAGGGACCCCCAAAACTGCAAAAATCAGACTAAGTCAGGGTCAAAGATTAAGGGTTCAGGGTTTAGGGCTTAGACTTTAGGGGGTATACGCGTGGGGTGCAGGGTCAGAGATTTATGCGCGTGGCTTTGTGAGACAAACCCGCATGCTCCAACTGAGTCTACATGTGCTGTCGGGTGGAGGAGCCTAATATAATGAGAATTGGGTTTTGGGATACATTCTACTATAATTATAATAAGGAACCCCCAAAATAATATCGGTATTTATTTAAGCTCCTATATTAACCCCAAAACCCTACATAATAGATCATAATAGCAGGTTATGAAGTCTGTATAATGGGGGTATCACATGAAGGCTCGATTTAAGGATTGGGGTGCCCCCGGCCGATCCCCAAACCACAAAACTAAAGGGTTGAACATGAAACCGTTAATCAAACCAAACAGCTGAATTCTTAATTAGTTCTTAATTCAAAAGCTAAACCCTAAACCCTAAACCCTCATAAGTCCGAGCTGGAAACCAGCAACTACCCTTGCTACCTGGAGTCTCCTCCCCCCCCGCCTAAGCAACCCTACAACTTCCAAGGCATCTTTTAGTTTAGGGTTAGGGATTTAGGGGTTTATAGGGGTTTTGGGCTTGTGAAAAATCATGTAAAACCCTATAAACACCATAAATCCCGCTCCGATGTTTAGAAAGACAAAGCCCCAAGATCCATGAAACCACACGAAACCCCAGTTCTTGGGTCCATCGCCCTCGTTTGCCCCAGTTTGCTTGTTAACAATGTGCGAAAAGCACGGCGGGATCGGCACTTTCGGCTCTTAACATGGCTTAACATGGCGTTCAAATTATGATGATCTGCGGAACCAAAAACGCCAAAAACCCGATGTTTCTGCGCGGCCGGGTTTGT